CTACTTTAGGCACAGCGACGGCTGGGTGCCCTTGGTTGATCCTCTCTCTCAGCCTTAGGAGGAAAAACACTTCCCCAAAACCTTGCCCCCAAAACTTCAGGGATTTGTTCAGGCAATCACCAGGAATCAAAAACTAACTTAAAGACACCCAGAAGGGGTGGAAAAAGTCTCAGGTTAACTATTGGAACGAAATTCTAGATACCTTTTTCCATTGGCAATCAAACCCAGAAAAATGAGATTTTTCTAGAAAATAGACACATTTTCGATCTTATTAAATATCAGGGATACTTCAGTCTAGTAGTTTACCATTAATGAATTGCCAGTGCCTTAAAGAAGAGGGTGGGTTTTAGTTCCTCTTCTTTCTCTCCCCCTTCCCAGTTTTAATTCTTGGTACCTTTGGTTAAACCTGTCTCTCCCACCTGGGAACCAAGCTGATTGAAAACTTTGCAGGCTGCAGTCTTAACGTTTCTGAAGGGAACTGCTGACCAAGCTTGAAGAAGATCATACAAGTAGTCCTCGCCTTACGACTGGTTGCTTAGTGATCATTGGAAGTTACAACAACCTCCCTGCGGGGCACTCACAACCCAGTTATGACAACTGGGGTGTGGCAGTCACATGACCTTGTGTCAGGCGCTTGTCAACTGGCCTGCATTTATGGCCATTTGCTGCATCCCGTGGCCACATTACTTGTTTCACAGTGTTTTTGCAAGAAAGGCATTTAGTGGTTTTCAGCAAATCCTAGCCCATAGCAAACCGTTTGTTTACTTAACAACCGCAACCACTGTAAAAGGTCACACAATCAAATCAGTCACCTGGGTGATCCAGTTTATGACTGTTACGGCATATAATTGTGATTAGCAGGCTGCATTATGGTTGTAAGTCAAGGACTACATGTAATGTGTGACAGGAGAAGTGAACCGCATATAAATTTCAGTTAATGAAAACACCCAATTATTTGAATGAGGGAGAAAGATCTAAGATGGTGGGTTTTTTTTTTCATTTTGTTAAAATGATGCAAAAGGATAGCACTAGTGCAGCACTTCTGAATGCATTCAGATACAGTTAAGTGAAAGTTTTTGAGAATTATTTGGTAGGTTTGAACACTAATTGCATTAAAAGAAGGAAGACACTGCAAATATAGAACTACACAAGACTATCTCGGCTCCTGTAGCCTATATTTCTACCTCTGCGATGATCAAAGAGGATTGGATACAGTTTAGAGAAGGAGCTGCAGTGACGCTCTGTTTATTTCAAGATATCTGCCTCCACTTCCATGCCTCCTTTCTCTGAATTTTCTTAATCAAGAAGGCAAATGACAGATTTCAAGTTACAAGGAGTCCTTTTCAGGAAGGAATATTTGAAAGAAAGCAAAAAGCGAAATCTGAAAATGTTATTCCAGTTGGCTCAGTTGTGCAAGTTTGCACATAAACAGTCTGTGTGCTGTGGCATTAGAAAGGTAAAATTGTACAAAAACAAAGAAATTGATGTTCCTATTTACGGGAGATTCCTATTTATAGATTAGGGTACAGGGGAAGGCACTGAAAAAAAATCTGCAATTGACAATCTGTGCAGTCTGAGCAATTGCGAAAGCAGGATGCTAATAGTTGGGAGTAGGAGCATAAGTTAGTATTCATGCCCACATCCAGAAGGTCTTAGGATCAGCCCCTGGCACCCCCTGTTGAGCAGCATCGGAAAGGAAATGAGGGGAAAAACATTTCAAAGACCGAATCCGAGTGCCAGTAAGAACAGACTGGAGGGGACTGGATGGACCCCATTATATCAAGTTCAGACTTGATATAATGTAACTCCCTATATTGGAATTTCTCAGCTCTCCTTGCTCCTCAATTTCTTCTCTTTTATGATTTTTTTAAGTTAGGTGGGATTTTCAGGAAACAGACCTGCTTACAGCAAAGAAACAAGCAGCCCAATTCCTATTTCTGCAGATTAAGTCAGAATGGTTTTGTCGAGAAGTCTATTTGCAAATTAAATCAAGCTGCATCTGCTCCAATGTCTTGGGTGATTTGCTGGTTTTGTTCCTCTTAACTACCTTGTCAATGAGACTAGGCAGATACCTAGACGTGACCAAGAAGTAACTTGGCTGTGAAAAGCATAAAATTGGTGGGAAAGAGTTCATTTTTTCCATCCCATTTTCCCTACTCTTCAATACTAAAGCACTGACCTATTCACAGACCCAGAACTGCAAAGTACTATTACCTAATCAACCAATGGTATTTATCAGGAAGAGTGCACCCATCTCAAGATTGGATTGGCCCTAACCTTGCCAACTTTTTAGAAAGCGTTGAAAAACGCACATTTGTTCCTGGGTGTACAGGAGTGGAAGGGTTTGGGGGGGGGTTGTGAGTTAATCATTTTGAATTATTACAGATTAGTGTCTTTCTTTGGTGATCATTAAATGTATGCTGGGCTTTTTAAAATGTCTTATGTATATTGTATATGGTTAGTCACCCAAAATCTCTATAATGAGATGAGTGGCCATATGAATTGTTTACAGGTAATCCTCGGCTTACCACCATTCATTTATTGACTGTTCGAAGTTGCCACAGGACTGACAATAGTGATTTATGACCATTTTCCACACTTAACGAAAGTTGCAATACCGCTCTCCCCCCACGGTCACATGATCAAAGTTCAGGCCTTTGGCAACGGATTGATATTTGTGACGGTTGACGTGTCTCGGGGTCATGTGATCAACCTTTTACGATCTTCTGACAAACTAAGTCAATGGAGAAGCCAGATTCATTTAACAACCATGTTACTAACTTAACTGCTGCAATGATTGACTTAACAATTGTGGCAAGAAAGGCTGTAAAATAACCGTCTCGCTTAGCAACAGAAATTTGGGGTTCAGTTGTGATCGTAAGTCGAGGACTACCTGTAAATAACACTGGAGGAGGATGTTCTGCGATACCAGCATCAGCCAACCCTGCTAGTATGACTGGTGGTTAGAGTCGATGGCAATCACAGGTAGTTCTCGACTTACAACAGTTCACTTAGTGACCGTTTGAAGTTACAACGGCACTGAAAAAAGAAAAAAAAAATCAGAGCTGAAGAAGCTTCTTGGATGAGAAGTGAAACATCTTGAAAGAAAAACCAGAAAGTCCAGTTGCTTTGGGACAACTATGATCTGGATGACTGAGAATCTCCATAGACATTTGGCACCGGAAAAAGTGGCTGGTGACCATTTTTCAGACTTGCGACTGTTGCAGTATCCCCGTGGTCACATGATTTACATTTGGATGCTTGACAGCTAATTCACCACTTAAGATGGTTGCAGCGTCCCTGGGTCATGTGATCCCCTTTTGCAACCTTCTGACAAGCTAAGTCAGTGGGGAAATTAAGGGAAATCAGATTCCCTTAATAACTGGGTTACTAATTTAACAACTGCTGTGATTCACTCAACAAATTTCTCACTCAGCAGCATAAATTTTGGCCTCTGATGTGGTCGTAAATTGAGGACTACCTGTATAATCTGGAGATCACCCCGGTGTTTCCTTCCTTTGGCCTCGAGTTTATTATTCTGGTTTCTCTGGAGTTCAGTTGCTGACTGTTGGTAGGATTCCATCTCTTGACTTTTCATCAACCCTCTCCTTTTATTTTCTCCCTTCCTTCCAGGATATGGACAAGACTTGAGTGGCTTTGGACAAGGCTTTGCCGACCCCAGCCAACAGCCCCCCTCCTATGGAGGCCCTTCAGTACCACCCTCAAGTGGGCCGCCCGCAGGGGGCAGTGGTTTTGGCCGTGGACAGAACCATAACGTTCAAGGTTTTCACCCCTATCGACGCTAGCGTGCCCACCTAGAAATCAGGGAGTTCTGTCCAGAGCAGGATATCTGGTATCAGCTGAAACCCAGGAAGCCCAGACTTATGAACTTGTGACAATCACCTACTTTACCAGAGGGGGGAGGGGGGACCACAAATGTAACATCTTTTGGAGGGGTGTTGGGGGAGAAAGAGGAGGCAGCTTTTGAAAGCAAAGTTGTCAGTGGTGTTTGGACTGCATTTTTTTTTAAACAAAAATCTTTTCTTTAACCCATCAGCACAAAATAAAGAGTGTCACTGGTTCAAACTACAGGGTTTTAAAAATGTCTTCAGCTTTAATTAAAAAAAAAATCTTCAGGTTTCTTTATTTTTGTTGAAAATTTTATTTTTTTTCCTGAGCCTTTGTTTTACCATATATTGTAAACTTTTATGTTCAAAGAAGAAGAAAAATATATACATTTACAGATTGTGAGATTTTTAAGAGAAATTTTCTACTATGTATGCAGGCTTATTTTTTAATTTAAAAGAAAAAAAAAACAGGGTTTCCATTAGCACTGCTTAGAGGGTCAAGTTTTGAACCTCCTTTTGTTAATGTGTGGTTGGTCCAGAAACTGGGAGTTATTTAACAAAAAAAAAAAAGTGGGAAGTGGAAATAGGAAAGGAATTTTAAGTATGTCCGTTTGTCATTTTGTTACTGGTTTTGGATCTGATTAAAAAGTCCAGGAGCAGAGTTGTTTGCAAGGGATCACCGTATCACTTCTTGAAGCACAGCATTTCAATTGAGGCTTCATGTTCTTAAAAAAAATTCTTTGGGGATATGAATTTCTTTAAGGGGGTTAATGGAAGCCTTGCGAAGATGTAGATTTCCCTCAGGCAAAAAAAAAATAAAAAAAAAATATGGGGGTGCATTTTGCACTAACCAGCGATTACCCCTGGTTTGAATAAAGAAAAGTACATTTGGATTAGAAATGCAAACTCGTCTCCACTTTTTTCTTTTTTTACAAAAAAAAAATGCTTGAATTTCTCATAGGACCTTCTAAACTGCAAGTTACTTTTGGGATTGGTGGTCAGGAGCCATTTTCATATTTCTCTCTTCTGCCACTGGATAATTTGTGCTCTTATGATTCATCGAAGTTCACATGCCTGTCAACTATTTGCCCAAAACGATTCCTGCTCAGTGCTGCACACAAAGAACAAAACACAACTAGAGGGACCTGGTATATATATAAAAAAAGGCTATTTCTGATATCCCAAATGCCCTTCAGGCTTGAGGCCATGTGGCAACTTTTAAATCCGCTAATTCCTAACTTTTTCAAAATACAGCCATTTCTGCCATAAATATGAAATGGCCCTCATTCTTGACTCCATCTTGTTTCTGATAAAACACTAAGAAAGTGCTTGGATTCCCCTTTTCATGCAGTCCTAGCATGTCAATCACCAGGACATAATTGGCTTGTGTTGCATGTTAAAATGATTTGCTGTAAAGGAGAAAATTCTAAATTTATCAATAGGATCTGCAGGTAGATGCACTCGTGTCTATCTTTGCAGACTTAACGGGTTATTTATTGTTTGTATATTGTCCAATTCTTAAGAACTTCCAGCAAATTTACATTGTCAAAATATCAATTACTCCAAAGGGACAAAGCCACCAACCTTATCTAGTGTCTCTGGTCCAAAGTAACTGTTACTACAGATTTAAAAATCTGTGAAACAGCCTTATCTTAACCATCGACTAACCACTAGGAAGGAGAGCATCATCTGAACCTCAGCTATTCCAAAATGATGGGAGGATGATAGAAAATCTTATCTCCTGCCCCTAGGGAGTCAAGCTATAAAGCCCTCCCACCCCCATGTTAAAAATCACATTGAATTGTATTGTTAAAACTTATTGGCAGTCAGTGCAGCTCACATAACTAGTGTTATTTTTTTTCCCCTCCAGCAAGTGAGCAGCTGCATTTTACTCTGTTGGCAGTTTCTGAATAATAACTACCCCAGAAGAGTGAACTGAAGGTGTGGGTTACTTTTGCCCAGGTGTCCCATTCCAGGAAGAGCTCCACCTGTTCACCTACCAATACCTGTGAAAATAGAACTTCCAAGTCACAATGCACCAGTAGCCCTCAACTTAAAACAGTTCGTTTAGTGACTTTTCAAAGTTACAATGGCACTGAAAAAAGCGACTTACGACAATTTTCACACGATCATTACAGCATCCCTATGGTCACATGATTAAAATTCAGATGGTTGGCAACTGACTCATATTTATGACTGTTGCAGTGTCCCAGGGTCACGTGATTCCCCTTTGCCACCTTCTGACAAGGTCAAAGAGGAAGCCAGATTCACTTAAGGACCATGCTACTAACTTAGCAACTATGGCAAGAAAGGTCATAAAATGGGTCAAAACTCACGTAACAACTGTATTGTTTTAACAACTACCTCAAAATAGGGTGGAGATATATGGGTGTCAGCAATACACCAAGACCACATCCTAAATCAACAGTCACACTGGCTTTATGCAGATGCTGAAAAACTAGGGAGAAGAAACTCTGCCAGTACTCTGGAAAGAAGCAACTATGGTTGTTTTTTCCACTTCTACCCATCAAGGGGAACTTCCGTTTCAGGAAGTGAAACTGCTATAGCACAGGGTCTCTATTCTGAACCTTCAAAAGCAGCCCAGAAGAACACCATGAATGATGGGATTAAATGCTAAGAGCCCAAAAGTGGTAGTTCTCAGGCTCTTTCGTACTTCCAAAATGGACCCTATTGTGAGATGTTGGGCGGTGCATCTCTTCAGATCCTGCTTTAGGCAAATTTGAAGGACACCATGGGCTCGAAGTCAACAGAACAATGTTCCTAAAAGGATCAGCAGGAACATTGTTCTGTTGACTTTGAGCCCATGGTCCTTCAAATTTGCCTAAGGCAGGATCTGAAGAGCAGGCAGCTCTTAGGTTCCTGGGACATAATCTGAAGCCATCAAGGTAGAGAAGTCTTGATTCTTGCTACTCTTAACACTCTTATTGACATTTGGTCAAGTTCCTTTCTAATTTCTCTCAGTACTCCATCATCAATTACTGTATTTTCTGGAGCTCCTTGGTAAACCAAGGATTGGTGAAGAGAGAAGTTACTAATAAAGGAGAATATTTGTACCTTAGGGTTGACATGAGTCCTTGGTGTTCTCTGAGCTTGGTGGTTTTCTTGCAGACGTTTCATTGCCCAAACTAGGTAACTGTCAGGGTTCCAAGTAACACCCCCAACAAAGGAAAACTCTTGAGGCTTGAGTTTCCTCAAAGTTTCATTTTATTAGAGATGTCATATTGGCATAGCTGGGAAAAATCTGAATCTGAAAGCTTCCAGGTTTTCCCCACCCAAAGGAAAGTTCAAGTCCCTGCCCACTGCACCCACATGTCCATCACAAGGTCCAATCAAAGCACCATCCCAACTGGAGATGCCTCCCAGTCACACTCCTCCAGGTGCAGGGCAAGATGTCCTTGACTCTCTGAGAAAAGAATGTTACTATGACCATATATCATTGCTGCTCCGTATAATCCCCCCTCTCAATTTCCCACAGTAGTAAATGTAGCAGGCCTGAAGGCCCAATGCAAAAGATGGTTTCTAGGCCTGACATAACATCATCCGTGCTGGTTTAGTATAACCCCTCAGAGAAGTCACTGATAGGACAATCTTGCCAAGAGTTTTGGTTGCCTTTCTTCCACAGTCTGACCAGATATCTGGCAGAATTGCCTACTAGATTGCTGAGAAAATCCCAAAAGTGCCCACTGAAATCCAGATGGATATACCTCTGACTAATCATTTTCCCATGGCCACACCCTGTGGAGATCAACTACAGTCCCAAGTTTAATGTGGACTAGAAAGTGATCTAAGTGTGGCAATGGATGAACCACACAGCGTCCTCCCATCATCAGATAAAATACCGCCCGCTCAGATTAAAAGCGGGTTTTGGTCTACTCAATCTAGTTGCTGCCACTTAAAGCAGGGGTCTCCAACCTTGGCAACTTTACGACTTGTGGACTTCAACTCGCTGGCTGAGGAATTCTGGGAGTTGAAATTCACAAGTCGTAAAGTTGCCAAGGCTGGAGGCCCCTGACTTAAAGCAACTGGACATACTGCTGAATTGTAAACACATGTTTCTTTTTCACACCAAAGGTCTGTCTAATCCCAGATCCTTAAAAGTTTTCAAACATAGATTGAACAACCATTTGACCGGGATGATCCAAGGTCTTCTGCCTTGAGCAAGGGGTTGGACTAGGAGACATCCGAGGTCCCTTCCTACCTTGTTACTCTATGTTCATTCTGTATTTGCGTCTTACACAGGAAAACAAGAAGAAACCTGATTAGTTCTAACCATCTATTATCTGCCTAAAAATCATTTTCTACCTCTGAATCCGGAGGTACCATAAACATTTTGCAAGATTGCTATGATCTGTTCAATCAAACCTGGGTGAAAAAACACAGATGATCTGTATTTTTCTGCCATTTTTTATTTCTTTTTTACTCCTTGTTCATGGCATATAGATGCAGAGATCAGTTTCTAGTGGATGAAATGCCCCTGGGATTTATTGCAAATGATATAAGGTAAAGGTTCCCCTCGCACATATGTGCTAGTCATTCCTGACTCTAGGGGCAGTGCTCATCTCCGTTTCAAAGCCGAAGAGCCAGCACTGTCCAATGACGCCTCTGTGGTCACGTGGCCGGCATGACTCAACGCCAAAGGCGCACGGAACGCTGTTACCTTCCCACCAAAGGTGGTCCCTATTTTTCTACTTGCATTTTTTACGTGCGTTTGAACTGCTAGGTTGACAGAAGCTGGGACAAGTAACAGAAGATCACCCCGTTACGTGGCACTAGGGCTTCGAACCACTGAACTGTCAACCTTTTGATCGACAAGCTCAGCGTCTTAGCCACTGAGCCACCACATCCCTGCAAATGATATAGGGCAAAGTTATTTTGATCTGATCCAAGTGGAATTTTACAGTCGGGAAGCAACAGGTGTCTAAGGCTTCCTTAATTCCCAAGGATCTATTGTGATAATTTATGTACCAAGGGCATAAGAGGTGCACCAAGGAAGCTATTGAAAATAACTAGGTCTATGATTAGCTATCCTCATATGCTGCCTGCATAGGGGGTATATCAAAGGAGACTGCCCCCCCCACACTTATATGCTTTAAGCTTGTAATCGGCCATATACATCCAGTACGTAAACCTTATGCATTGAAGATAACAGAAGTGATTTGCACCATAAAAGACAAAGACAGAAAAAAAAAGCTGCGTAACTGGGCCAGTCACTCCTCTCTCTTTCCAACCCACCTCACAGATTTGTTACATAATAAGATTATACGTATTCAAGGTGAGATCATATATTATTTTTTAAAAACCAGACTTTTGAATTAGGCAGAGAAAGAATAATGTGTACCAGGCAATGGTGCAATTTAATTAATTAATTAATTTATTGGTTCGATTTATATGCCGCTCTTTTCCGGAGACTCAGGGCGGTTTACAATGCGTTAAGCAATAGCCTTCATACTTTTGTATATACCTGCTTAGTAGGGCTTTTGCCCCCCCCAAAGCGGTGTTCTTTTTTATACAAAGTCAGCTTATTGCCCCCACAATCCGGGTCCTCATTTTACCTACCTCGAAAGGATGGAAGGCTGAGTCAACCTTGAGCCTGGTGAGATTTGAACTCGCAGTAATTGCAGTCAGCTGGTGTTACTTAACAGTGCTTTAGTGTGCTGGGCCACCAAGGCTCTTAAACTTAAGTGTTCTCAACATGCTGGGGCTGGGGAATTCTGGGAGTTGGAAATCCACACACCTTAAAAAGTTGCCAAGCTTGAGAAAATACTGTGCTAAAAAGTCTTCCTATAAACTCCCAACTTGTGAACCTTTTCCGTGGCTTTGAAGAATTGGCTATTTTCCCAGGGATTTGGGTCACGGGATAGATGAATTCTGAGGGAACATTAAAG